AATACAGAAAGGTTCATGCAAAGCAACACCCCCCCAGTGCTTTCCAATTCATGTGTGTACCTTGCCCAGTGCCAGTTCAGTTCATAACAACACAATTCAGCTGCTCAAACCTCCTCTGTGCTGGCTAAACTTAAATCTGGAAGCCAGAACCAAGGCAACTTCTAACAGTATTTTCCCATTACAACTGCAGCTTCCAATACGATTTCTCTTTGGAGCTAAAGCAACCTTCACTCTAAAACACTAGTTTTCAGTTGCTTAAAGCCAAGGGATATTCGTTATTTGAATGGAGCTGCGTATTCTCCCTGAAAATATGGGGAATTTCCAGGCTTTTTTCAAATCAGAGAGAAAAGCTCATGCCTCAAGTCTGCAATGAATGTTCTGATGGCTGAAAACAGAAGGGGGGGAAGTTTGGGTTTCATGGAAAGGACCTGCTGATAACTACTCCTAAGTTACTGCAGTTTGCAGACCAGCCTGAGTAAACTCCCCCAGAATACCAGCTTATGTAGCTGGTGGGGACTTTTAGTCACTGGGCACCCGTGGTTGATGAGCAAAACATTCCCTGCAACAGCTTTCTGGATGCTGCAGAGACCCCTACCTCAGGGCCAGGCCTGGGCATCCCCAGAGGAGCTGGATTCAAGTTGTCTGGAGATCCCAAGCACTTTGCACGTGGTTTTATCCTGCATCCCTTAGAAGTGTTTCAGTGCATGGAGTTCTCTGTTCCCTGCTCTGGAAGGCTCAAACCACTTAAAGAATACCGAGGAATGTGAAGCAGAGTGCCAGTTCCCCCCCGCAACTTCAGGGAAAGCCATTCTTTCTAACAGTATAAAGGTAAAACCCTACAATAGTTCACTGGTTCCCACTGCTCACCATCTGCACAAGACACTAGTGACCACTCCTCCTGAGGCTAGGCATGGCTGACCAAAGAAGAGGCTCTTTAAAGGAGGTGCAGGAGGCAGAGATGTAGCTGTATACAAACCCAAGGCTCTCCTAGGGAAGAGACTGCCTGGTTGATGGGGACCATCCAGAAGACACCTCTGCAGTGCCTGAAGTGAGACCTTTCCCACTGCAGAACATCAGTTGCTATTCAGGGAAGCATTTGCTGTGGCTCAGCAGTAAGCAGGTAGCACGAGCAAAGGATGCTGAGGATTTATGTCTATTGATGTCTCATTTCAGGAGCTCTGTTGCTTAAAGCAGATTCAAAAAGACCCCCAGAGGATCAAAAGAAGAACCCAGCAAAATGGAATCAGTTGAAGACTGAAGTGTATTCCCTGACCAACCATTTCATAAACACCACTTGGCTCACAGATACAGGAATCCATCAGTAAATGCTTTTGTCAATACCCTGGATTTGTTGTATTTCCCCATCCAAACGTGCAGACAGAGCATCCAACAGCAGGAAAACATTAAAGCCACACGCTCTGACTTACAAAGCCCCTTCTATGTATATACACATAAAGCCCCTGAATGGTCAAGCCATCTGGGAAAACCAAGGTCAGGCAGAAACCTTGACCAGCACGAGTAGAGCTGTACAATTGGAGACATTTTATGAGGTCTTCACAAAGGCAGTACTTCAAACGAACAAAACAGCTTCCCCTGCAAGGCAGCCTTTCCTCACACACCAGAGCACGCACTTGGATCTCTTCCCCATCAAACCCTTCTAGAGGAATGTCTTGCATGAGCACTGCTGATCCTTCCAGAGGATCAAAGAGTCCCCACTACTCCAGTGCTCTCCCAGTCAGTACCAGTGGGATACAATCAGCTCAGTTCCCTGAAAAGGGGTGGAAGGTATCTCTGACACCAGGTCTGAGCTCTGTAAATGAACCTGTCCATCTGGTTGCACACATTGCTGTTATACAATTCTTTCTAGTAATACAAAAGATGGGACAAACACAAGATTATCCAGAGTTATTGTAATGGGTGCAGCTCCAGCCTGGGTGAACTGCTCTGCCTGCAGCATCCTCAGTGGCAGGCAGAACAAATCCAGCCTCCATGCCTGCAATGCAACCCCTCCACAGGGTGCTAGCAGAGAAGCCCCAGCCCGTGGCCTTTACAACACCCTGAACCACAAACTTGCCCAGAGAGCAGCTCCTCATGCAGCAGGGGGTTAACAATACAGCTCTGCAGAACTCAGACCTCAAGCCATCAAGGCTCAACCTGTCCCAAGCCCCCAGATCAGTGATGAAGATGGAGGGAAGCCAATGCTGAAGGTTTTTACCCCCACTCAGTCCAAGGAAAGGCAACTTTTGGGTTGAGACTGAGGAAAAGCTGAACAAAGGGAAGGTGAAAGTGGTAATAGAGAAAGTGAGCATCATCCCTGTCAAGCGGCAGCAGGTCAGTCCTGTCACAGGCCTGGTTCAAAGCTAGTCCTGCACACTAACTGCTCTCCCCTCATCACCCCATCTGCCCCTTCAATCACAGCCATGGTGGGACCCATTCACCTAAACACATACAAGGAATAAAACATCCAACAAAAGAAGAGTTACAGCTTTCCTCTCATCTCCCTCTTCCATCATTATTGCCTCTGAAGGGCCATTTTATCACTTGCAGCTGTGGTCATTCAGGGACAACCTGCTGTGCTCAGAGGCAGATGAGACCTGCACATTTGATCTACATTAAGCCTGTTTCATGGCTTCACATTTCGAGGTACATTCCTAACAGCAGCACCAACCACCAAATCTTTTCATCCCTCCAGCTACTCAGTAGCTCCTGTGAAATGGGGCATTTATCTTCCACATCAGGCTTTTTGGTGCAGCAGCAGTTAGCAATCTGTGCCCCAAATCCAGCAGCCCCAAACAAGGCCGGGGGGAAGCTTCTCCTGGACAACAGCAAAAGCCCCATCTTTACACCAGCAATGGTTATTAGCAGAGCTGCTTTCCAGTCCCTTCAGAAACGAGGTGCAAATGAAGCAGCTCTTCACACATAGGAGCTAAGAAACACAGCGCTTTGCTCTCAGCTGCAGTACAGCTGCTGAAGAAACAGGCCAAGTTAGAAGAGCTCCTGTGCAGCAGGACACAGCATTCATGACAGAAGAGAAGCTGCCTCCTTTAGCTCAACCTATGCTGGTCAGTTCTATCAACCTGAAGATGTTTAGCTCCCCAGTCAGAATCTCCCTATTGCTTTTAGGGGGACCCAAACATACAGCAAGCCCATAACTACCCATACTCTGCAATTCAGCCACCTTCCCAGCATGGAGGCTGGATTTGTTCTGCCTGCCACTGAGGATGCTGCAGGCAGGAGCAGCTTGCCAAGTGCCCAGGCTAGAGCTGCATCCATCACTGGACAGTGAGGGCCAAACCTTTCCAGCCCCTCTGTCCAGTTCACATCTCTCCCCCATGGGTCCTGGGCCCTTAAGATTTCAGTTTCAGTCCTTCCAGCAAGCACAAAACCAAGGGAGTCTCCAGCAACCGAATGCACTGGAAATGCCCAGATGATTAAAAGCTCAACTCCGGCAGCAAGCAGCTCGTGACCAGATCAGCCCCTGCATGGGCACCGTGTCAGTTATGAATAATTGAAAGGGAATAGGAAGGAGACACTGAAGTATGAAGCAGATTTCTCTCTGGGTAGCTGGAGGTTTCTATTGCTGCCAATCACACCCTGCAGATGATTGTCTTGTCTGTCAGTCATCCCAGCCCTTACATTAACATGTGAGCTCAGGTTAACATGGGCAGGTAAACTAATCAAGCTTGGTTATGCCTCTGCACACAAAAGCCAAAACCACCAGCAAAACCCAGCTCTCATTTTTACCTGCCTTGGGCAGCACAACCTCAGACTGCAGGAGAGGGAAAGCTCACTCAGGTCATGCCAGGGAAAACAGACATGGATATGAAGAGCAATTGGAATAGCTGCATTTAGGATCGCTTTCCCTCTGCTTGGGATCTACTCATCCACACAGCAGGATGCATCTGAAGATGCAGGGCTCAAAACCCAACTGGAAATAAGACCCTAGCTCCAACACAGCAACTGGATCACCTTCAAATAGATAAGGCTGAGGTGGTGCAGCTTTATCCTTCATTAGACTCTCAGGGAACAATACTGGTGACACCAAGGCAGCCCCACTTTCAAATAAGCATGACTGGGCTTGTTTGCCTCAGCACACTCTGAAAGCATCATGCCATGAGGATGGAAATGGTCCTTTATACATCTGCTCTTCACACCTCCCTTCAGCAGACTCTTTGGGAACAAAGAAAAGGTCTATAGCAGTTTAATGCTTTCTGTCTCTGTTGAAGAGTGTCTGGCCTGGAGGGCTAAAGGAGGAGAGCACCACAAAGGATCTACCACAGATGTTCAGAGATGTCTATTTTATACAACAGCACGTCTATGTACATGTTTATGATGAACAGTTTGCAATGAGGGGACTGAGCTTTCATAACTAGGGGACAAGGACTTGTGGCATCTCAGCTGAGCTCCTTCACACATGCATCACCGCTCCTGCAGCCAAGAGAGATGCAAGTTGGTGACACCACAGGGAGGAATGTGAGAAACTGGGCACCTCCTCACTCAGTTACACAAGATAACTGAACAGAAAGCTGACACATTGCCAATCTGCAGGGAAATGTGGCTTGGTGTCTGTTTTCCCAGTCCCCAGATTGTATGCTGCTACTCCATGCAGGCTGTGAAGGCATTCACACTCAGCTTCCAAATGCCAACGAAATCGAACACGAGAAGATGTGTGATCATACCACATGGAGGGGGAGACCAGAGAATTCCTAATGGTGCTGGGTTCCTTGGGGAACCAAGCTTCTTGGTCTCTTCAGTACATGGACAACACGAGTATGAGGTAAGAGGATAAAGAAATAGCATCTGTGTAATTAAGTTACAAGGCAGGTCTTTTCCTACCATGCTCCTTATCTCCCCAGGTGAAGATCTCAAGTCTTACCACTGCTCTTCCACCTGACCTGCAAGTTCAAGGGTTCAATGCGTTCTTTCACGCTCAGAAGGGAAGAAGTCACAGGCAGCAGCACCCCTTTGCCCCACTGTGCCCCAAACAAATGCTCACTCACCCCTCTTCTGCATGAAGATGAAGAGGTCATCCAGGAACTCTTTCCGTTCAGGGTCACTATCCAGTTCATAGAGCTGTGGGGGCAGAAATAAGGATGAAGGCACAAGCCACAACGCAACAGAAAACCAAGTAATAATATCAGCTTCTTCCAATGGGGATCTGGTGCTTGCACTGGAAGGTGAAAGCAAAACAAGGAAGGATTCCTGAGTGCTTTGGTGGCCAAGGCTGCTGTGCCAGTTAAAGGACCCTTCTTACTGGTTGCCTTGCTAGGTCCCTCAGTAACTCATCCAGGCACAGCAGAGACCAGTGCCCCAAAGGGAACAGGATTCAACCCAGTTAACAGCACTGCTACAGAGCAGGGTTTGAAACCACCTGAAAGCAAAGGGGAGAGGAAGTATTAAGGCAAGCGAGACAGAAAGAGGAGACAAGCCAAAGGAAGGTGACAGCGGTTCAGGGCAGCTTAGTGTCTGTACCCTTGAAGCACTGGATGGGTTAAGCTCTCTGCAGCTTCTCCCAGCCTCAGGATCCCCTCCTTTAGGGATTGTCACCTAAGTGACAAACTGATCCCTTGACGGAGAAAAGGAGTGAGCTTTCCTGTAACTACTAATGCCTGCAGGAAAGACTCCTCTAAAACAAGCCCCAAAGCCTTCAAAACTAGCAGAAACCAGCCTGGAAATTAGCTGCAGAAATCACTTTACCAACAGGCTTAACCACCTAAGCACTTAAAGCTCCCTAGGCAGCTATTCCAACGGAGAGGCGCTGTGTGTTAGCGTTAGCCACTGCTTTTCAGAAGGGAAAAGTGTCATCTCACAACTGCCTCTTCCCCAGAAAGATCTAATTCTCACCTAGCAAGAATCCTGTGAGGCCACAGAGTGACAGGCTGAGAGGGCTTAAGTCCATCCCTCACTGAGATACAGGACAGATGACAAGAGAGCAGACAATACTCTACATGAAGAGTTCAATTCCTTCTCTTGTCTGCACTGAGGAGGAATCATGCATCACTCCAGGGAATTATATGCTGCTTGTGGAGCAGCTCAATGGAAAGGCAATGATTCCCTCGGAAATACATATTCCAGCCTCCCTGTAGGTGCTGCTAGCTACTTGGTATTCATCCAGTCCAGGAGAAGAGGGGCTTTTTGGGCTCATTTCCTGTGAAGCTCTGTGCTTTCTCACATCCCAGCTCAGGGAAGAGAACACAGCAGTGTATTTGCAGAGCAATTAGCTGCCCCCTTTCAGAAAGAGCCAGCTTGGTTTCAAATGAATTCCTCTGGCTGATGTGACACACAGCTGCCACATTCAAATCCAGGTTCAAGAAACAAAACACCCTTCTCTCAGCTGCAAAAAGTATTGACTAATATAAATGCCTAGAGTCAAGTTAGTCTTAGTTCAAATCATATTCCAGCAAGCCAAAGCAACAAAACAGCCCCAAAACAGCAGGTCTGTAGGCAGGACAAAGTAGTTTAGTTACAAATTCACTACAGAGGAATAGTGAAGGCTCCACAGTGACCCTCTGGCACAGATCAGGGGAAAACCCCCCTCAAATCCCATGATCCCACTGACCTTGGCAAAGTCTCGGGAAATTTCTCTTCCTCTGCATCCATCACCTTCATCGCTCCAGGTCACACTGCCGTTCTAGGGAGACAGAAACAACAGGGTGTAAGGATCTGCATGGAAAGGCTTTGCAGGCAGTTTCAAACGCTTCCAAATAGGCATTTTTGGGGCAAACACACATGCAAAAGCAGCTCCTGGTTTAGACCAAGATGACCAGAAAGACGGGACATCGGTGCATTTGTCCCAGCCCGCTTCCCTGGAAAGGGAAGTGGCATTTCACCTTCCAGGCTGCTACTGAAAGCAGGGAAAGTTTCCAGCCCTAAGTTTTTCCCCATGGAATTGCATCACCAAGAAATTGTCTCGGCACCAGGAAAAGCCATTCCAGAGGAAAGTCCTCAATCTGCTGAACCCTGTAGGATGTGCTCTGCTGCAGTGAGGTTCAGCACCTAAAGAGGTACTCTCTGTGTCCATCCTCCTACCAAGTGCTCATCCTAGAGCCCCTAGGAAAGATGCAGGTGTTACTCAAGCATCCCTCCCTCCTACCAGGCAACACTTGGAAATGCCCTCCTGTCCTCCCCCAGCTTGCCTGCAAAACCAGAACAGGGAGATAACCCCTTGGGAAAGCTTCCTGCCCACCCAGGACATTTCCTCCTGGAAGCTGCTGGATGTGGATTGTCCTCATAGAAATGGAAAGCTCAGCTTTGCTGGATTAAGGTTCATTCTTCTCAGGCATTAAAGGGATTACTCTAGTTGGGCCTATTCCACTTGGTAAATCATCACCCTGAAATGATCACTAGAAGGAGCAGCCTCTGGCAGTATGGCACAGGCCAGATGAATGATCATGAGATACATTCAAGCATCTTTAAACCATAAACTTCTTGAAGTGCTCCAGAGCCACTCAATGCAAGAGAAGAGCCAAATCCACTCAGCACAGTACCTCTGATTACCCTGTCCTGATAAACACAGAGCATCCTAGCACAGAAGAGCACTGAGGATAGATAGCAAGAGGTTTCAGCACAAGAAAAGCCAGCACGTGAATTAGAGAGGTGGTCCAATACCTGAAATCTCAGAGTCATCTGGTTGTGACACATCCATTGAATTAGAAAGATGAATAGCTCCCGTCAAGGCCGGGCAAAGCTACACTTCCCCCTTTAAACAGCACCGCAGTGAGCTGCCCTAATGCCTGCTGATTTAGTTTGAGCCAGTAATTCCTGCTGGAAAGTCAATTATCCAGTGAGTCCCATCAACTGAAAGATATTTAATGGGGGATTATTGCCACTTCTGTTATGTCAGCTGTTTATTGCAGCAGATCAATTCCCAGCCCTCTCTAGGAAGGGATCTGAAGCCTGGTTTTGTTCACAGGAGGATTCGTCTTGGTGTCCTTTGCTAGCAGAGATAAAAACCACAGGGTTTTGCTAATTACGGCAACATCCAGCTGCTCCTCAACCCCTCCTTGCCTGTTAACCGGGATCAACAAACCTGTGTGACCAGTTACAACATGAGAGGGTCACTTCAGAAGGCAGCAGGTAGCTCCCATCCGCAGCTTCACACACTCCAAAGCACAGTGATTTAGAGGCAGCTGAGCCAGTTTCTTCCCAAGTGGGTATTTGCTTATAAATCCAGAGGGCAAAACTGCTTCTGGTGTTAAACTGGGTGCTCCAGGAAGCAAAACACTTGCTTTCATTGGGAACTTTGGTCATGCTGAGAGCTTATTCCGCTACATTTGAGGAGGGGACAGGAAGAAGAGGGCTTAATGGAGAGAATTCTTTAGTGCCAATGGGTTTGAACTTGCTAAAATGTCAAGGAACAAAACTTTCCATGGGATTAAAGACTCTTGGGAAGTTATTTTTTCTATGTGAAGACAAGGAGTAACTGGAAAAGAATGCCAAGATTAAGGTCTGAGAATAAGCAGAATATCTACAACCTACTTCCATTAATACACCCTAAGATGCTTGAGGGCACAGAAGTAATGCTCCCCCACATCCCACTAGTGAAAAGGAGCTTAAAGCTTGCTGAAGCCATCAGTGTTTCACCATATGTCCAGAAAAGTGGCAGAGATGGATCTAACCTGGCATGACACGGAGTGAGCCAAGGTGAGAGCCAGCAGCCAGCATTAGCATTTCCTCCTGCAGTAGCTGCAAAGGTTTAAAGCCAGTTACCACTCCTCATGGTCAGCTATCAGAGGAGATAAGAAGAGGGTTTCCCATGCACCTCGCTGTACACCAGCACAAGCTGGAGGCCTGAGGACAGAGCACAGGTTTGCTCTGGGTGGCAGAGCTCGCAGAGTCTCGGGCTAGTGTGAAATGTCAGCTCAGCAGCTGGGAATAAAGCCTTATTTATTCAGAGAGCAGAGTACACGCACGACAGGCGCTTTCCCAGGCTCAGCTTTGATCTTGAGGGACCACTGCTCTCCAAAACCTTTGGGCCTGTGCCAAGGTTACAAGGGAAGGTATCAAATACTGGCAGGGTTCAGAAGAGCGACTCGAGCACAACTGGAAGGGGTACATCAGTGAAGAGCCCCACAAAGCTCCTGAAGCAGCTCCTGAAGCTAGAGATGCTTCACATGCAGAATAAACTACATTTTGCACAGCAAGAGAGCTCAGCAGGAGCTTTGGTATCAAGCTTCCTTTCCATTCCTCCTAGGAAAACAAAGTTACCCTATGCTGAGAAGCCCTCCTCTGTACGAACAGCAGGAACCTGAGAAATCAATATATCCTCACAAGTCATTAAAAGAGCTTTGTATAAGTCAGGCAATAGTAGCAGGAAGGAAAAAACACTGTTGAGAGAAGCAGGGCGTTCTCTGGGGAGAGTTCTGCTTCTCCCTCTGCCTGTTTGCATCAGGGGAATTTGCTGATGTTTGACAAACAGCCTTTGCATTACCACTGGCAGGAATTTATCTGCTTTCTTGCAGAAGAAGGTGGGAGAAGCCCTCAATGCAAAGCCTCAGCGAGAAGGCAGAGGTGTTGGGAAGGGCTGGCCACCTCCACTGCCTTCCCCCTGCAGACACCTCCATCAGAGCCCCCCAGGGCTCCCCCTGCCCTAGAGGCTGCAGACCTGGTTTCAGAAGCAATTATATCTGGACCTATTTTAGGATTACTCCCTAACCACCTGGAATATCTTATTAGAGGGAAGCTCAGATGTCCAGAGCAATTTTGGTTTCCAATCCCACATTCAAAAGGCAGAGTTAACCCTGAGTTGCCAAGCAGACAAGAAAAGGAGAGGACAAACACTTTCCTCCTTTGCCCAGCCCATTCTTTTGAGGACAAAACGCTTACAAACAAGCAGCCTCAGCCCCTCTCAAATGTTCCCATCTTACATGTCTGTCCCTCCTGGAGACCAAGGAACTAATCAAACCCCTGTGCTCAACATGAAGTATTAAGGAAAACAGAACAGCTCAACATCTGCCTCTCCAGTCCTGCCTGCACAAGCTGCAGTTAGTGTGCAAACTGGGACTTTGATGAGAAACTGGAAATGCTCCTTTTCCACGTCATTCCTTCTCCCCCCAGTTTGACCCAGTTGCTTGAGAGAAGCTCAGCTAAAGCCCACTGAGAGTACCAAGTTGTATTCAAATGAAAAATGAACTGGAGAGAGCCCACTAAAGCTTTAATATGTAAAAGTAAAGGGGAAACAAAACCTTCTGGTGTGAAACTCAGCATCATTCTGCACCTCCTTATTCCAGACCCGCACTCTTGACAGAGCTTTTAGGCTAGAAACCTGCTGAAATACCCACTTAGGGCCAAGGCTAAAGGTTGCAATGCAAAAGCAAGCCCCTCCCCTACCCCATGGGTTAACTGAAAGCACTGAGTCAATGAAAAGGTAGAGGGGCAGCAATTTCAGGATTATCAGAGAATCCCCCAAATTCCTTTTGTGGGTTGAGTTAAGCCTTAGGAAGTGAAACAGATGCTATTAGAAAGAAAACTGTTGTACTACAAACCGCTGATAAGATCAGGACTACAGCCCTGAGCTGCGAGTTCTCAAGCACGGAGAACCAAGTTATAATTACTGCGTGCACAAGCTCTGCTGGAACTGGAATAAACCCTTCCCAGTCTGACTAATAACAGCTCAATTGAATAGCTGCAAGCTTCAAAGCCTGCTTTGGAAAACCTTGGAGTGATGGCAGGAATTGCAGGGAGGATGGGGAAGGAAAGAAAAAGAATGGATTGAAGTTAACAGATTAATTGCCTTTATTTATTAAGGCCTAGTGAGTGCAGCACCAATGTAGCTCTTTGCTTCCTTAAGGAAAATTTGGGCTCTTTGTCAATGACTGCTATTCACAAATACTCAGAGGAATGAACTAAAACCTAAGTGACAAGAAGACTTGTTCATGCTATAATGGCTGTGGGAAGAGAAATCTGCACTGCCACAGGAGAGTCTCAGATTTACCCTGAAGTGAGGAAACACAGTGTAAGAGGACAACACATTCGAGCACCTTCCCACCTCCTGCCTCTAGCATCAACTGGAACATCTCTAAATTGGCACCAAGAGAAGCTGAAACTCTTCCTAAACTTAGCACCTGTAAAAAGATGCTAAAATAAGCCTTATCTTCCCCAGGATATAAATGAGCTTCTCACTCTGCTCTTTTGCATCCAGATTTAGCACAGTCACTGCAATATTACAGAGCCCTGTTGAAGCCTATGCGATTGCCTCCTGAGACGAAGAGCGGGGGGAATTCTCTGATGTCTAATACAGGTTGTTTGTAGGCTGCTGCCTCCAGTCATCATCACAAGCTGTTTTCTTGGTTCTCCTCACTCATACTTGATGTCCTAACCAAAAAGGTGACTGTTGCTCCAGTCACTCATGCTGAAGTTGTGAACACCAAGTGAGGTGCTAAGGCAGAAGGAGGCTGTCATGGGGATGAAGACTTCAGCAAACCTAAGCCACGAACTGCAAGAGAAGTTCATGTCCTTACAGAAAACAGCTTTCAGTAAGAGAGAAACCAACTTCTGACATGAGCTCTTCATGAAGAATTCTCCACCCACACCATCACAAAGATACTCAGTGACCCACATAAGGAATTAAAAATCCTTATGGATTGGGCCCTGGACACCTGAAATAACTTTGAGGCAAAAATGCACTGTGTGAAATGCAACTTCTTTCTCCCTGGGACCTTCACCCCCACTGGATTAATGAGTATCTCCTGAGCAATACCTCAATACACATGCCACTTGAGGCACATACTTAAAGGTTCTGGAATCTCAGCCGCTCATTCCTAGACCCTAGAGCAAAAGCAAAGTAATTATTTTAAGCTGACTTATCTTAATAAACCCCATGACCTTTGTTGAAGTTTAGGGCAGGATTTTCAGGAGTAACTGGTGATTTCTGAGAATCTATCATGAAACATCCCCAAAAAAGCAGATCACAAACCCCTCTCAGACAGCTGCTTCACAGGGACTTACCTTGCTGTGGTTAATATCAGCTGATGCCTGAAAACCTTGGCTTCATTTTTACATTGCACCCAGGAATGCACATACTCATGTGTGTGCTGTAGTAAACAGCCTGGCAAAACTGCTCCTGGTAGTGCTGCACACCAGCCTGGAGTGGGAAAGGAGCAATGCAGAGATCCTGCCTTCCCTGCACTGCTCTCCCTGGTAACCAGAGCCATCAACAAGCAATGTGAGAAGCCACCGGCTGAAGACCCACACCTTCCAGCTGCTAAAAGCATCATTTTCACCCACAGAATTAAAGCCTCAGCTTCCTTCAAAGACAAGGAAAGCCACAACACCCCTTTCCCAGGATTTGGAATGGATTTTCAGGGGATTCAAGCGAGCTGAGCACACCCCCCTTGCCCCAGCTCTTCTTTCGGGCCTGCAACTCCCTGACAAGCAACTGCACTCCCTCCCTTGTTGTTTTGTGCTGACAAGATTCCCACCGCCCCTGTGCCATAAGCTGAGCCAGCTCTTTTGTCTGCTGCCTTGTTCTACAATTATTTACTTGGCTGTCCAGGATGGAACAGAATGGGGCTTCGTCTTGCTGGTAGATTCCACCTCTCTGCCACCCTCATGCCACGTACCTTCCAGGCAGCGTTAAATACACTTTCAACATACATTTTTCTCCAAGGGCATCACTTTCAGAAGCACAATCTACACTTGAAAGAAAAAATAGAAGTGACTTTTCCCCCCCTCCTTCTGCAAGCAAGAGCCATTACGCATACCACAAATACTCCCAGAGCAGAGCTAGCTGGAAGCAGTGTATCCCAACCGGTTATTAGCCTCCATCTCAAGAAGAGCTAAAAGAGACAAGATGAAGAAGCATTCAGAAAACCAGCTGGAGAACACAGGCTCTTCTGCATTTGATCCTGGCTTTTTCAGCCTAGCACAACCATTTTAGACAAAGGCAGAAGAAAAACCCCAGTACCTTTAAAGTAAGCCTTTGAAATAAGAATGTCAAGCTGTCATGCCAGCTAACAGCTCTTGTCTGCCCACCACATTCATTCCTACACCTCCAGCAAGCCTTACCAGCTCAGAACTGGTACACTGCAGTTAAATTTTTACTCCCTGCTATGCAGGCTGCACTGGTGAATACAAACAAGTTCATCTGCAATATTTACCCTGCCCAAGGTGAATATTCTGCACCAGCATCACTAATACTGGCCACTTCAATATGGCCTTTTGAGCACCTTAATGAGACTTCACTATGAATATAAGCTATGCCTTACTGGGGCTGTACTGGAAACCCAGTATTCCATCTCCAAATACATTTCCTTTTAGTTTGGCTTCCTGGGGAAGCTCTGGGCACTCTGGCTTCCAGAAAAAGCTGGTCTGACATCAGACTAAGGTACAGTCTTCTACCAAAACACTTGATTACTGCTGCAACAAGCCACAGCAGCTGGATCGGTGTTAGCACACAATACACCAGCTGTAAACCAGTGCTTTTAGCCTTATGTTTTTTTGCTATTCCAAATCAGCTAAGATCAGATCTAGCTTGCTTAATGGTCATCTTCCAAGAATAGGGCAAAGGACCTAGGAATCAAGCCTACCAATTCAGTAAAGATTCCCAGGACTCTCACAAGATAAGCAAACATTGGGAAGAAGCACCAGCTGAGCTAGACATAAAACCAGCCAAAGAAGATGCTAAGCTTATTTGGGGTTATTTTGAACGTGATCCCCCTAACACCAGAGCCCTGCCTATAATTCACCACTCAGAGACCTTGAAGAGGAAGTTGCTCCAAGCCAGTAAATGCAGAAGCAACTTCTCCAGCGAGCATCCCCTGTCGTACCCACCTCATGTCCCTACAACAGCTTGAGCAACTTCTTTCAACCCAGCCCCTCTTGAGAAGCACACAGAGAGAAAACACAGCAGGAGCTGGATGCCTGCTGCATCCCATGCACCAGGGCTACTTCACCAGCACACTTTACAGGACCGAGAGTACAAATGCCAGAGGAGTTCCTGTCACGCAGCAATGTAGAAACACCAAAGTGGTCCTGGTTCGCAGATGAAGAGCCTTATGGAGTGGGAGAAAAGCTAAAGGCTGCTGAGCTTTAGCAGTTCCTCATCAAACTGCTGCCTGTGGCAGCATGAAATGAACGATCTCGTGCATGCAACCAAGGGGAGAACCTGGCCAGAGAGCCCACAGCAAGCCTTCAAACACCCATGTTCACCAGCCAGCACAAAGCAGCTCCCACCTTTCTCCATAGGGTTTGCAGGAGGTAAGGAAAACCAGCTCTGGTTTTGTCCACAGTTTCTTAGCTCAAAGAACTCTATCTGAAGCAAACCCTCTTCACACTCAGGTTAACATCTGTTGAAAAGGACAATTCAGTCCTACTCTATTTAAACCATTCAGTCCTTCAGCTCAATTTCAATACACATAAATACTGCGTAAGTCTCTGACAGCCTACTCAAGTTAGCTCTGGAACAAAACAGCACCCAAGTGCTACATTAACTGAAATACCCGCTTAGAAAAGAATCCTTGATCCTCTGGCATTTACCTACAAGGAGTAGTAATTCTTCATTCAGAGACAGAATTAACCTCCTGCCAAAACCAAGCAGTAGCAAGTTAGCACGCCCCTTCCCACACATGAAACAGAGTGGCTCTGCTTCCCCAAAGGATCAGGACATATGCTCTTCCCTGCCTGCCCACACCACAAACCAGAAATCCAGAAAACATCACAGCATCCCCCAGGTCTTACACAAAGGGGTTATAGATGTGAAGTAACTTAAGGCATTAGCAGGCAAGTGTCTGCACCCAAAATAAATATAGCACCAGCCTGTTCCCTCTGAATGGCAGCGCAGCAGGGAGATAAAAGATAATAAACAAGACAAGGATCAAACCTCTCCCTACTCACAAAGGTTCTGAGAGTGTGGGGGATCTGAATGTGTGAAGCAAATTAATCTCTTGTGCTATCTCTTTATAATATAACAAACCAGGGCAGCATTACTCTGCACATGCCCTGCTCTCCCACTCTTTCCAAAGCTCCTGTAACCGGGTACCAGGCTAAAGAAACTCTTGGTCTGGCTGAATCTGGGTTTGCTTAGAAGGAAGTAACATTAACACTGACCTGTTTGAGCTGCTCATCCAAGCGCCAGTTCTGGCGTCCAGACGGGGAACCGGCATACGGCTGCTTAGTAGTGTCTTTACCCTGTTCTTCCTTGCCCTGCTGTCCCCGCTGGACCCCCGATGCAGGAAGAGGATTCGAGGTAGAAGCCACTCTTTGGTTGTGATGGGCAACTTTGGGAGCATGGAAATATTTCAGAGCAGAGCAGGCTTCTTTCCCAGTCACATCAGCGCCATCCTCAAGATTGCCGCCTTCTAAACCCCCTTCTTCTTCCTCCTCCTCTTCCTCTTCATCCTCCTCCTCCTCTTCATCCTCCTCCTCCTCTTCTGGCTCAGAATTCATGCTGCTCTGATCAAAAGCCCGCGTAGCTCCGGCTGCAGGCGGGCCTCTGGCCAAGGGACCAACAGTGGAGCCACCTGAAGCCCTGCCAGATGTGGCTGCTAGGACAGCCTGCTGTACGGCCAGCTGCTGCGTGTAGAGCAGCTGGGCTTCCCTCATCTGCCTCTGCTGTCTCTCCCTGGAATCCATCTGCAGAGGCGTTTGCTGCTTCTGCTGCTGCTTCTGCAGCTGCTCGACCACAGCTTCCAGCTTCATCCCGCAGTTTGCATGGCTGGGAAAAGAGGGGGGTGGTTTTGACTTTATCTCGCAGGGTTCAAGCTCCGACCTTGGGAGATTGGCAGAATCTGAAAGATAGACAAATATTTGTCTGTATGAATATAAAATGCTTTCATCTTTTCCCCAGGAAGAGGATAAATAGAGTGCAAAGCCAATACTCTTTCCTGTGCAGGAGACCGTGAAACAATCAGCTTCATGTTTAACAGCCTCAGGCTCAAACTTGCATTCAATTTTCAGACTGTTTAATTGTATTTGCAAGCCGAACACATTTGCTATAACCTCAGTTTCATACACCCCAAAGACAGCATCTGAAATGCCTTTGTCCAAGGTCCCAGCACTTTTCCCTTCTGTGCTTCCTAAATAATGACTTTTGAAATGTTAGGTTAAACACTGAGGGTTTGGTGCTTCTGAAAATGCTGCCTTAAAAGGAGATAGCTGGCTGATGAGCTTGACCCTGTTTCTACTGGAAAACGGGCAGGGATTTACTGCCCACCAATTAGATCTACATTATTTTATGCTTTCATTACATGAGCAAATTCTTTATACTTCAGCCATCTTTCTTGCTAATAAAATCTCCAAACCACAACTATATTTAGCCACTATTTTCCCCAAGGAGAGCAAGATGAGCATCCAGCAAACACCACTGTATCCTGAATCTGACTGCTGAGAACTAAGCAGCTCCTGCCTCTGGTTCCCGGAGTTGCCAGCGCATCCCAAGCTCCAGCCATAGCCTCCCCTGGCTTTTCCCAGCTGCAGGATCGCTCTCAGCTCTGCCTTTGGACCCGCAGCAAGCCCGTGCTGAGCCTCCTCTTGGGCAAAGAGCACCACCATAGCCTGCAGCCAGAGACACAGCTCTGAGCCAGCCTAAATCCTAGAAGAACGACTACACCTTTAATCCCCAAGCATTAAAACCAGTGGGTGTATTTTGGACCCTGTGTCACAAACTGGACCTGCTGACAAAGACCGGCCTTCTCAGGGTTGTTCTGATGCAAAGAAAGATGCTTAAACGGATCCCACTTGCTCCACTTCAAGGTTCACTGATATCAAAATACAGCCAGCTTAGAGAAACAAAGGAAAGGCCAACTCCAAACAAGCGCAGGCTCCCAGCCACCTCCCACCACCCTGTTTACAACCAGCCCTGTTCAAACCACATACTTCAAAAAGAGACTCCTTTGCTAGCACTCATTTCCAAACCAGCCCCAGGTCTGCTCTACAACAACAAATAACCTACCAGACACCGCTTTGAAAAGTGAAAGGCAACTTCCAGCACCCTCAGTGCAACTCGAAGTCGTCTTCTAAGGTGGTCAGATGGAGTTTCTCACACAAAAGTGCCCACCAGCTCCGATGCCCACCTCATTTCTCCTCCACAAACTCTTCCCCGTGCTAAATACCAGCCCATCACTGAAGTGAAAAGCCTCGCTGATGCCTCTGCATCTTTATCTAGCAGCACAGCTTTAGCATGCAAATGAAACAATATAAAGTGGATTAGTGCAATAACGCATTACCCGGCAGCTGAAAAGATTCTTAGACTCCTTCTGAAGGCACAGTACACCATCTGGCCTAGCTCCACACACACACTCCTCCAGTAAAGCAACAATGAACCGGTTCGGGTGTTGCAACACAACCATAAACCAAGGTAGAGAGCCTCCAGCCCACACCTCGCTGCATATTGTTGCACCTGAGGCAGGGTGAGGCATCACCTGGGTGATACTGAGCAGTTACTACACGCCTCAGGTACATGCAACAATAATAAAGGAGCTGATAGTGGGTTTCCATGCGGAGCAAACACACCTCAGGTGCAGCACCACCCTGGTATGCAGCACCCGTGGCATTCCCAGAGCGCAGGTACAACTGACGACAGGATTGATGCACGGGGGCTTCTCCAGAGCCCAGCCTCCCAAAAAGGGGAATTTTGGCTCCAGCAAACACACCCTCAGCAAGAATTGGTGGTATTGGGAAGAGGCAGCTTGAGGAGGAGTGGGAAGATGCAGTGCTCACAGCAAGTGATTCACCCGTGATATCAGGACCGAGTTAAGGATAACGACTGCAGATGGGCCAGTAACGTTAACCCCCTCCTGGTTTTAACACCCATTTTGCCCCTCAGCAGGGATATCCCTTACTTTCTGTGTCTCTCCCCGAAACGAGGCAGGGAAGAGATCCAGTTTAACCTTCAGGTCCCCCCGCACCAGCCTTTGTGTGGGTTTTAACTCCCGGGAGGGCGTTTTCATTAGAACGCCCCTGGCTTGGAATGTTTATGACCAGGGTGCTGGGGAAAGTGCTCGGGAAAACAGACCCTTCCCACCGGGAAACACCTGAATCAGTTAAAGCGAGAGGAGAGCGGCGGGGCCGGCCTGCGCCCAGCCCCGCGGAGCTCTCCGGAGATGGTAAACAACGACACCACCACCCCCCACCTCCTCCCCCCGGTAACACCGGAGGCCTCCCATGCCCCACAGCCTCCACTGAGCTCCCAATCCCCGCTTCCGAGGGGACCCACCCGGGGTAGGGCGGCTGCACCCAGCCCCCAAACCGCCCGTAAGCTCCAGCTCTGCCATGCTCCAGTACCAGGCTCCGGTAACAGGCCTGCGCCCCGCCCCTCCCAGCTTCAGAACCGGGCCCGGTGCAGGCCTATCCCGCCCCGCCCCGCCCCGCCCCGTGTGGTCCGTTACCTCCCGCGGGCCCGGGTGGCTGCCGCCCGTACGCGGCCGGCTCGGCTCGGCTCGGCTCGGCTCCGCCCGTAGCACTGCCTCCTTCCGCCCCGCGCCGCCCCGCCTCAGCGCAGCCGGAAACGGGGCGGCGGAGGCGGGGCCCAGCAAACGGAAGCGCCCGCCCCGCTTCCGGGTACGGCCCGCGAGTACCGGAAGGCGAGCACACGCGGAAGAGAGTGAAGGGAAGAGAGAAAAAGGGCGGAGTTACGCCTTACCCGGGAGCCAATTATATTGAGAAACGTAAGGCACCTTCCGGATCCGGAGGGATAAAAGCGCGGGCGCGGAGCCGGGTGCGGCAGTCACTGCAGAGGCGGCGAAGTGGGTGTGAGGGGTGGTGCGCAGGTGAGCGCTGAGGTGGTCCCGGGTTCAGCATTGCCGGTTCCCGGTATCGGGTTCGGGATCCCCGCCGCTAGATGCGGCCCGAGAAGGGGCCAGTGCTTTGTATTGCGGCTGGGCTTTGTTCCCTGTGAAGGCGTTTGTGGGGTCTCTGTTGGGGGCTCTCCCCTGCTCGAGGCCTGCTGGTTCTCTAGGCCCTGAGGGAGGGATGGAGGGGAAGGGTCCTGCATGTCCTCTGAGGAGCTGCACGGTTACATACATATGTGGTTGGGGAATGAATGGGTGTTGTGCTTTCTTGGTGTCTCCTCTTTAACTTAGGCCCTGTGGGGCAGGCTTTTGAGATGCCTCAGTACCCCGTCTTACCTGAGAATCCTTACCACTGCTGCTGGGGCTCCATAGGGTAATAAATCCTTTTAGGCCTATAATGCATGGGGCCAAGTGTCAGGGCTCCCTGATGTTCCTGCTGTGTTCTCTCTGATGAGGGATGCTGACACTTCCCTGTTCCTGCTCACTTCAGGCCGGTCAGCATGGCAGATGAAGAGATCGCTGCACTCGTGGTGGACAATGGCTCCGGCATGTGCAAGGCAGGCTTTGCAGGGGATGATGCTCCTCGAGCCGTGTTTCCCTCCATTGTGGGGCGTCCCCGGCATCAGGGTGTCATGGTTGGCATGGGGCAGAAGGACAGCTATGTAGGTGACGAGGCCCAGAGCAAGAGGGGTATCCTCACCCTGAAGTACCCCATTGAGCATGGCATCGTCACCAACTGGGATGACATGGAGAAGATCTGGCACCACACCTTCTACAATGAGCTGCGTGTCGCCCCAGAGGAACACCCTGTCTTGCTCACTGAGGCCCCCCTGAACCCCAAGGCCAACCGGGAAAAGATGACCCAGATCATGTTTGAGACCTTCAACACCCCAGCTATGTATGTAGCCATCCAGGCTGTGCTGTCCCTTTATGCCTCTGGCCGCACCACTGGCATTGTCATGGACTCTGGGGACGGTGTCACCCACACTGTGCCCATCTATGAAGGTTATGCACTGCCCCACGCCATCCTGCGTCTGGACTTGGCTGGCCGTGACCTCACTGACTACCTCATGAAGATCCTCACGGAGAGGGGCTACAGCTTCACCACCACAGCCGAGAGAGAAATCGTGCGGGACATCAAGGAGAAGCTCTGCTATGTTGCTCTGGACTTTGAGCAGGAGATGGCCACAGCTGCCTCTTCCTCCTCCCTGGAGAAGAGCTATGAGCTGCCTGATGGGCAGGTGATCACCATTGGGAATGAGCGCTTCCGATGCCCTGAGGCCATATTCCAGCCCTCCTTCCTGGGGATGGAGTCCTGCGGCATCCATGAGACCACCTTCAACTCCATCATGAAGTGTGACGTGGACATCCGCAAGGACCTGTATGCCAACACCGTGCTGTCCGGGGGTACCACCATGTACCCTGGCATTGCTGACAGGATGCAGAAGGAGATCATAGCCCTGGCTCCCAGCACCATGAAGATCAAGATCATCGCCCCACCGGAGCGCAAGTACTCTGTGTGGATCGGAGGCTCCATCCTGGCCTCACTCTCCACCTTCCAGCAGATGTGGATCAGCAAACAGGAGTATGATGAGTCTGGTCCCTCCATTGTCCACCGCAAGTGCTTCTAGAGGGATGTCCTGTGCCAGAATTGTTCCTTATCCTTGGTTTAAGTAGTGATGGAACCCCCCATTAGGCTGTAGCTCTCCCATGGCTGCTCCTCCTCCTCGTGGCTTGGAAGCAGGCAGAGGGTGGTTCACTTTTCCAATGTAACCGGTAGGATGACACTACATTACACTTGTCACCTTTAGCTTGGTCACAACTGACTCCTGCATAGGAAAACAAATAAACTTATTAGGCTTTAAAACCTACAGGAGGCTGTGTTGGTTTCTTTCAGGGTGGGCTCCTCCTTGCTGTAAAGGATTATGGGGACAGGGTTTCCGACTCAAGCAGGCACCTAAAATCCTGCTTAAAACCTAAATGTTTGGGGCACAAATCCTGTTGTGGCACCTCTTACTCTTGCCACTTTAAGAGCTGTTAGTGAGGAAAGCTTGCCTGGGACGTGGCTTTCGCTCTACTTTGTACTTTCATGGTAACTTGGCCTTTTTTAGATCACAAACAGCTCCTCTTGTCCAAAAGCTGCCTCCCTGGCACGGGGCTTGGTGGCTGGAGCAGCACTGGAGTCTCCTTTTTTGGGAGAGGGTGACAAGATGGAGCAGGAGACGGGGCTGAGGCTCCTGCCTGCTCTAGGGACCACAGGAGCCCCTTGCCCTGCGGGAAGGGGATGGCTCGGGCTCCGTTCACGGGAGGGCAGCCCCGCATCCCGCCTGTCCCGGCGGACTCGGTTTCCCAGCGTGCACCGCGCAGCACTTCCGCTCCGGCCCGGCCCGGCTGCGGGCACTGGGGCGCCGCGGGGAGCGCCGCTCGGGATCGTGCCCGGGCCCGCGGAGGGGGTGAGCAGCGGGAACCACCCGGACCCCTCGCTCCCGGTCTCCGCACCGGCAAACGGGGGGTCGGGGGCTGCTGGGAGGGAGGGGGGTGTCTGTCCGGAGAACCGGGCCTTGCGCTTGGCTTCCTCCTCCGCTTGGGTGCTGAGGCTGGTGGGGCCCCCCGCTCTTCGCGCTGGTTACGGCAGAGGTCGGGGCCTGACAGCGTGTCTGGGGTGTGCAGGCCTCCCGTTAGCGCTTCCCAGCACGGGGAGGCTCACTCTGGTTCGTTTCCCTCCTTGGCAGGGTGTAGGCTGGCGCGGCTGCGGTGGGTGCGGAGGCTGCGATGGCGCTGCCCGAGTGGCACATCGCGGTGAAGCTGGCGGATCAGCCCCTGGCTCCCAAATCCATCCTGCACTTGCCAGAGACAGAGTTGGGGGACTGCCCGCTCGGGGGGTGCAGCATCTCCTACCTCAAGCAGCTCATCACAGGCAAGCTGCAGGAGTCCGTCCCCGACCCCGAGCTCATCGGTGGGTGCCTCCGTGTGCTGTGTCCTGCTGCTGCTCGGGTTCAGCTCTTCCTCTCCTCGCTGCGGCCAGGACACAAATGTCCTTCTGCTTTGTGCTGTTGGGCCGGTGGGAAGACTTAGTGCAGTGTGGGGGATCAAGGCATGTTCCAGAGCTGTGTCTGCCTTAGTGCCTTGTGATACGGATACTGTTTGCTTGGGATCACAGTGCTCCTGCAGTGCTGATGCTCTTGTTAAGGCATCTTTTGGCTTGGCAACAGCAGTGTGTGCTTGTGAGCTCTGTGCGAGAGATGGGCTCTTCTCAAGGAGGTGGCAGAGTCACTGACTCTCAGCTCCACAATTTCCCTGTGTTATGGAGGCCCTGTGCTGCTGACCACAACACGTGTGGAGCTCTAACCCCTAGGCAGTCCTCATTTAAAGACCCCAGGCCCTTTCTGAGTGTGCTGGAGATGTTTAACTTTAGTTGCTCATCTTTAGACGTTTCTCTTCAGGTGTTTCTCTCTCCTAGATCTGATCTACTGTGGCCGTAAGCTGAGGGATGACCAGACACTTGATTTTTATGGCATCCAGTCGGGCTCCACCGTTCATGTCCTGCGCAAGTCCTGGCCTGAGCCTGACCAGAAACCAGGTGAGGAGGAGGAGACTGTTGGGTACCACTTAGATCTCCTTGGCTCTATGTTCACTGTGGGCTCCTTGTGACTGTGGAACAGCTTCTCTTGTCAGTTGTTTCTGGGAGGCTGATGTGGGGTGTGCAGGAGGAATTGATCAATGTGTTTGGGGGGAACTCTCCACCTCTAACAGCAGCAAAGGGGTGTTATGTTTTCTTGCTGATGGGAGACTTCAGGATTGAGCTATGTAATGTGGACAGTGAATATCCCTTAATGACTATGATCAGTTTTAGGGTGTTACCAGAGAACCAGTAGCAAAGCGACTGGTTACTCAGCTTGAGGGATGAGCAGGTGTGTGTGTTCCTGGTCTGTGTCTGTGTAATAAGATGGGTTAGGTTAGAGCTGTCACTTGAATACAGCTCCTTTCGTGTATGTAGAGGATATATCTATGTATTTTTGTATGTCTGGAAGCTGAGAATGCAGTTACTTGTTGTGCTGTGATAACTATACTGAAGCAGTCATTAGCGTGGGCCCTTTGTCCCTGGGTGAGCTGAATGCAGGGGCATTAAGGAATCACCACTGCTGTTGAAGTCCCAGTGGCACATAAAAAAGGCTGACAGAGGGAGAACTGGTTTTGTTCTGCTTTTCCTCCCTCAGAGCCTGTGGATAAGGTGGCAGCAGTCCGGGAGTTCCGGGTGCTTCACACTGCCCTGCACAGCAGTCCTGCCTACAGAGATGCAGTGAGTGGGGCCTCACTCTGTGCTGGCTGGTGCCTTTGGTCTGTCCTCTCTCTGTGAGGAGGGTCCCACAGTGGAGCCTCTGCTCAGCTGTTCTGATTTCTTCTCAGGTCTTCAAGATGCTGGGGAACAAGGAGTCACTGGATCAGATCATTGTAGCTACTCCCGGCCTCAGTAGTGACCCTGTTGCTTTGGGTGAGTCCAGATGTGATCCAGAGGATCTGAGGAAAGCTAGATGAAGTTAATCTGTGTTTAATTCCCACCGGGGGAAAGGGAGAGTTCCCTTTCTGTGCAGAAAGTGCCGTTGTGGTCCCTTTGTGGAGCATTAAGAGTCAGTGCCTACTCATGTGTCCCTTGTAGCTGTGCTCCATTGGTAGTGTTTGGGGATGGATAACGGCTTCAAAAGGAGTCCAAAGTAGAGCAGTGGGGATGGGTGTCTCTTCCCTGCTGCAGTGTGTTCATTAAATCCAGCTTCTTCTGCCCTGGATGTTACTTGGCTTCTTGGCACGTTGCTGAGAGGGAGATAGACTGTGGGGTGGAGTCACAGCCTGGCTGGAGTGAGCCGGGTTTAATCCTGCCCTTAGGGTGGAGCTGTCTGTGCTGGAGCACAGCCTGTGGGATCTGGGAAAGCCCCATCCCTTGGGTGTGTGGCTGTGCTCCAGAGTCTCTCCAGAAGGACGTAAATGCTTCAGGGAGAACAATGACAGAGTATTCACACTGCCTGCCAGTGACTCAGTTCCTGAAAAACAATGAATTCTTTTGGTGTTTCCCATGGCTCCTGTTTGACTGGTTCCTGCTTCTTGCTTCCTGTCTCCTTCTTGTGTTTCCTGGTCCCTCCCAGGAGTCCTGCAGGACAAGGATCTCTTTTCAGTGTTTGCAGACCCCAACATGCTGGACACGTAAGTTCACGTAAGCTGGTGCAGTGACTAAGCAGTGCCTTTGTTGTGCTGTTGTATAGGCTGCTGCTGTTTGGGTGGCCTGGAGAGTTCTGCTCCTGCCTGCCAGGCAGATACACGAGGCCAGAGATTCAGGATAGGACACTTCTTCCTCAGCAGCAGGAAAGAGGGAGCTGATACTTTGATATACATCGACCTCCACTGTTGGATTAACCATAGGATATTTAGTGGGATATGGGGCTGTCATCATCTTGGGTTCATAGAATCACAGAATGGTTTAGGTTGGAAAGGACATTAAGATCATCCAGTTCCAACCCCATGCCATGGGCAGGGACACCTCACACTAGACGGCATCACTCAAGGCTCCTTCCAACCTGGCCTTAAACACTGCCAGGGATGGAGCATTCACCACTTTGGGCAACCTGTGCCAGTGCCTCAGCACCCTCAGTAAAGAACTTCCTTATATCCAACCTGAACTTCCCCTGTTTCAGTTTGAACCCACCACCCCGTGTCCTGCCCAGGTTCAAACCTGGATCTGGTTGCTCACAGCACAGAGTTGCTCTATAGGGAATATTCTTACAATGGGAGGGTCAGCGTGGGCTCAAGGAGCCCCAGCTGCTTTAGCTGTGTGGCACAGCGTGGGGAGGTACCTTGCTGTCCAGGCAGAGGCAGCAGTGGTGGGGCAGTGCTGGGCACTGCTGTGCTGGAGGGTCTTGGCTGGTGTGGAGCTGCTCCCGTCCCTGGGTCCACAGTTCATTCTCCTCTCTCTCTCCAGGCTAATCCCAGCTCACCCTGCCCTGGTGAATGCCATCGTCCTTGTCCTGCACTCGGTGGCTGGCAGCACCCCGCTCCCAGCCCCGGACACATCCTCCCGGGGCATGTCCTCTGGCTCCTACCGGGACATGCCAGGTGAGTTCAGCCACACAGCTCAGAGGGGACCCTGCAGAAAGGATGTGCTGCAGGGTCTGTAGGCAAAGCTGTGCTAACACACGTTGGCCTCAGGGCCTCTGCCAGCCGAGTGTGTGTGATGACTGTTGGTAAGAGAGTCCTGTGTGTGGCCTCTGTTTTGTGCAGGTGGTGGGCACTGACCTGCTGCACATGAAATTGTTGGTGCTGAGGCCCCTGTCCTAGCTGTGGGGCCAAGGGCTCCATGGGATTCTCATCTGGTGTCTGATTCCTGCCAGCACCCACTTTTCTCCATCTGATTCTCCTTTCTGTTGCAGGTGGCTTTCTGTTCGAAGGTCTCTCTGATGATGAAGATGACTTCCATCAGGTAAGCAGCCAAATGAGGTGGAATGGACTTGCCCTTAAAGCCTCCAAAGGTTTTCTTTCTTCCCGTTTCATTAACATCACAAGCTGCTCTAGGGGTATCCTGGAGACAGACACAGACTGGATGTTCTTCGTGGTAGCATTTTCTTGTGTGCTGAGGTAGGGTCCCAACAGAACAATGCAGAAGCACAACTTGGGACAGCACTTGTCCTCAGCTTGATGGCCAGATTGATGCAGAGAGATGTGCATGGATGATGGATGAGTGTGACTGAGAAGGGTGGGAGTGTTGGTCCCTGCCCTCCTTCTGCAGTATAGGAAACTTTCTAAAGGGCAAAGTATTTTATAAGAGAAATTGCATATTTAGGCCAAAAAAGTGCCAGTTAACAGCTAATTGTTTTGTTACAGGCTAAGAACACTTGATTTTAAGCTGATGGATGATACTTTGAAAGGTTTGTGGGGAAAAAGCACATCCCCTTCTGCCATGGTTAGCTCTTAAAAGCTTTGCACTTGTGACTTGCGAGTACTGTAGGAAAAGAAGCCCTGGGAAGGAACACACCAGCCAGATGTCCCAGGACATGGATACCAGCATCTGAGGTGGTTTTGTTTCCTTTTCCTCCATGCAGAGCACCAGATCCACACCATCCAGCAGCACCTCTGGTTCCCGCCCGGCTTCCCTTGGCTACACTGGGGCTGCTGGGCCCCGGCCCATCACCCAGAGCGAGCTGGCCACCGCGCTGGCACTGGCGAGCACCCCAGAGAGCAGCTCCCACACACCCACTCCTGGCACCCAGGTACAGTGGCAGCCCTGGAAGGGCCTCCTGGGGCACAGAACCAGGGCAAACCCGGCTCAGGTCTGGGCTGAGTTCTCCCATATGGGCTCCAGTAAGCACGATGCAGGGGATGCAGCAGGCATTGCGCTCTGGCCCTGGTTCCTGTGCCAAGTGTTCTGCTTCATGTACAACTTACTTCTTCTTAGGGTCATTCCTCTGGGACCTCCCCAATGTCATCCAGTGTCCAGTCAGGAACACCCATCACCAATGACCTCTTCAGCCAGGCCTTACAGCATGCCCTGCAAGCCTCGGGGCAGCCCAGCCTGCAGGTCAGTGTCACAGGCGCTTCCTTCCACAGCCCATGAAAGAAAGGCCTGTATTGCATTGAGTGTTGCAGGGTGGAGTGGTTCTTCCTGCTGCCTCCTGAGGCAGAGCAGAAAGGGGCATCACTAAAGAAGTGCTTCTTGCAGGAGGCCTGATAGACCAGTGCTCAAGTACTGGGTGGAAGTGGCAGATCTGGGGAGTTTTCAGCTTTCAGGATCTGTTTGCACACTTAGCATTGCACATGTGAGCTTGAGAGAGGTGGGAGAGTGCAGTGTGGAAGAGTGGGCTGTGGGAAAGACTGGTTTCTTTCCACTTGAACACTTGCACCTACTCTTAGCTTCTTTTGTTTCCTGTCTGTAGAGCCAGTGGCAACCACAGCTTCAGCAGCTGCGAGACATGGGCATCCACGATGACGAGCTGAGCCTCCGAGCCCTGCAGGCCACTGGAGGAGACATTCAGGCTGCCCTGGAGCTCATCTTTGCTGGTGGAGCTCCCTAGCTTCTTGGGCAGGAGAAGCTGCACTGGTGAGTTGTGCTGAGGCAGCTCTGACATCCCTTCTCTGGGACTTGGCACTGAAACTCTTCTCTGCACTGGAGTTCCTCTCTCCAGCATGGAGCAGTTGGGGTGGCTGCTCCTTTCCTTGCAGGTGGGCAGCGTGCTCCTGTTTGGGTGAGGGCAGCTCCTCCACATACCCCTCTTCAGCCTCCTCCTCCTGGCCAGCAGAGACAAGACCTCAGGACTTGGTCCAGCATGGAGAAAGAGGTGGTTCTGTGTTGGAGAGATGTTCTACAGTCTTGTTCTCCTGCCTGTTGTTTCATTCCTGCCCCCCTGACATGCCTCAGTCCATCTTGTGTTGCTGTTGTGGCCCCTCTGTGTTGAACTGTATTAAATGGACTGTATTCACTTGCCTGTTGTTTGGGTTGTGATCTGTCCTGGGTTGTGTTCTCATGGCGCGGAGGGAACTGGAGAGCAATGTTGTGGGACTGTTCTATCAGCAGAGGGCACTCTTCTAACAGAGTATCTGTATCTGTTAGAGCAGTGCTTGGGGTGTAGCTGACCGGCACAGCCTCCAGCTAGGAGTTAAGCCAGCACAAAAGAACTGCTTGAGCTCCAAGCAGGTGCTGCAGAAAAGCATCACGTCTCTTGGAGCGTTGTGCTGGGTGAGGCTGGTGAGCCCTGCAAGCTCAGAACCAGGTGCAGGAGGTCGTGGCCACCACGAGGTGACAGTAAAAGGAGTAAATGTGAAACACGAGGGTTGAGGCAGTTGCCAGAGTGTGAGATGCTGCTGAATGACCTGGGACAAGTGCTTTGTGACTGCCACAGGTTGGTCTGGCTACAGAGTGTCTTCTCATCCTGGGGACTGTGTTGGGGGTCCCAAAGACAACTCCAGTCAGTGGCAACTGAGAGGAGCCAGAGCTGGGCCAGGCTTCACTCTGATTGTGTCATTAAGATTAACAAGGCATGGAAGAGGGAGCTGGTTTGCCTGGAATGCCATCATGCATTAGCAGGGAAGCTAAGAGTGGAAAATGCTCTCCTACCTTCAGGCTGCCTGTGCTCCCCTCTAATTCCTCTCCAAGTGCTTGCTGATAGGATCTCAGCTCTCACCCAGCAAATGCTGGGTTGTTCTCTCCAGGGTGTAGCTCATTGACTGATAGACTTTAATCCTGTCTAGAGGATTAAGTCTCTCAGGAGGGGAGGGACTGCTTTAATTTTCCAGTATGTAGGAGGTAGGATGTGATGGACATAACCAGCTTCCCACACTTGATACACCCACTCAGGCCAGACGATGGCTCTGATTTTACATGGGTGAAAACTGATTCATTAGCCCCCATCCCTGGTGCCTTCACTCCTTGCTTTGCTGGGGGAGTGCACAGCATCTGCCCAGCATCCTCCCTCTCTTCTCCACAAGCCCTGCTGTCAGCCCTCCATCCTCCTGGGATTAGCTGTATCGCAGATGCTGCTGCCCCAAGCCCGCTCTCCCAGCCCTGCTCAGGGCTGGCAGGACTTGCTTTGGGAGCAGAGGGACTGGTTTGCTTTGCTGTTCCATGTCAATCCTCAGCTTGGGGTTATTGCTGTCCCAAAATGGTATTTCTTTTCTGTCCTGAGCTCGTTTCTAGGGTTTGATCACTTTGTTGACCCACATTCAGCATTCTTCCCTTATAAAGGCTATTTCTGCTTTTCCCTGTGTCCCAGATAATTGAGAATTGCCTGGCTCTTTTGAACAGAAAGAACTTTTTCCTGATTTCTTTTACAAAGTGTGATCCTTGGCTTGGAGCACCGCATGAGCCACCTCCTCTGTCTGAACTGGCTATAGCAGAGCAGAACTTGGCACTGATGCTGTTCACGATGCGGCTGCTGCGTGCGCTTCGCTTCCCTCCTCTCGCCTGCCTTTGGCTGCCTAGAATAGACATGCTCAGCAACCAGGCAGATTTAGAGATGCAGGGATGGGAAGAGAGGCTCTGCCTGGCACTTGCAGGGCTGGTGCTGGAGAAAAAAGGAGGAGGAGGAGGGGAAACTTTGCTGCAGGAGCTCCTGTAGGAGGGTGGAAGCTCAGGGATCCTCAGCTCTGGCTCTGCTGCAGCAAGGCGAGCGCTGCCTTCCTGCAGGGAGGTTGTGATGTGCTGACTCCTGCCTGTTCCTTGTGCTCCATCCCTGGTGCTGCTGCTCTGACACCTTCCCCTCCTCCTCCTGCACCAGCTTAGGTTAGTCCTTTGGGGTTTGGGTTAGAGGTGCATCCATTCTCATTGGGACTTATGTGCATCCTGCATCCGCTACACTGTTCACCAGCCAAGCATCACTGACGCTGCTGCAGGAGCAGACTGGGAGGTGCTTGGCTGACCTTTGGAGCTCAGAGCACAGTTCCCCAGTGTAAGCACTTGCAGTAGGGACTTTCTGGGTCTGACGTAAAAGAAGTTTTTGGTTCAGTTCCTTCTTTGCCTGCAGTGAGGTGATGGGAAGCAGTGACTGGGTGTGCACAGGAGTAGTGGCAGCAGCTCTTTGTACTATCACAGTATCACAGTATCACAGTATGTTAGAGATTGGAAGGGACCTCAAAAGATCATCTAGTCCAATCCCCCTGCCGGAGCAGGAACACCTAGATAAGGTTACACAGGAACGTGTCCAGGCGGGTTTTGAATGTCCCCAGAGAAGGAGACTCCACAACCTCCCTGGGCAGCCTGTTCCAGTGTTCCGTCACCCTCACTGAGAAGAAGTTTCTTCTCAAGTTTAAGTGGAACCTCTTGTGCTCCAATTTGTACCCATTACCCCTTGTCCTTTCTTTGTTTGCCACTGAGAAGAGCCTGGCTCCATCCTCGTGACACTCCCCCTTTATATATTTATATACCCTACTCCTGTAACCTTGTTGTTTGTAACCAGATGTGCTCTGCTTTCCTGCTTTGGCCACCTCTGATGGCTTTTTCACTCTCTCTAAGACAGTCCTGAGCTCACTGTCTCCATGAGCAGCAAAGCAGTGTTGTGTGTGTGTGTGATGGGGTGGATTTCCAGCCAAAGGGTGAAATGGAGACAGAGCACAACGTCCCAGGCTTTGCATCCTGATGGCTTTTGCAGCCCCGCAGCCTGCGTGACTGCCCACCTCCATCTTCTGCTTTCACAACGGTGTGTGAAGTGAACACAAAGGGCGAAACCTATCCCAGGAGCAGAAGTTGGTGTCTGAGGTAGTGACTGTAGGCACAGGCTCTGTGGTGTGGGTGTGCTTGGGTCAGATCACAAACTGCCAAGGTTTCTCGCTCTTCAGCCTCGCTTTCTGGCTCCAAGTAACCGGTGTTGGAGCCATTTCCCCTCATCCTCCCATGTCTCCAGGATTTAGGAATAAATGTTTCTTCCTTGCTTCCACAGCAGAACAGAGGCTCTTAGTGTCTCCTGCTTGAAGGACCCTGGCACACGAGCCAATTCCCAAGCTGGGAAAGGCAGCAGAGCAACTTAAGCCCAGCTCAATGTGCAGGAGCCGGAGGCCTATCCATCCCAGTCCCATCACGGCCACTGATTCACAAGCCTGGTGAAGGTGCCTTTCTCCAGTGCTCAGCATGTCCCTCAGAGTTTTTAGGGTACATCCATGTGGGCAGCAGGAGGGAATTTGTCTGGCAGAGCCCTTGAACATCAGCTTGATTTCCTTGCAAAGGACTCAGTGGGTTCCTGGCTGCTTTCAGCTTTGTCCTTGTGGGAATGCCAGAGTGCCAGAAACACCTAATCCTGTTTGGTTTTCCTTCTGTTAGCTTTGTGCTGATGCTGTGAGCTAAATGGTCTCACCAAGGGGAAGGCAAAGGGAAGAGGGGGGCAGCAGGACCCCTCTTTTTATGGTTTCCTTTGCAGTAATGAAGTCTGGATTTTCCTCTTTCTCAGGCAAACTTTGGAGGAAGGAGGGAGGTTTTACTGATGCTGGGACAACTGATGAGGAATAAGGTGAGAGCCCAAAGGATAGGGCAGCCTCCAGGGGGGATTTAGTCCTTTTCCTCACAAGAACCACAGTGTTTCTTTAGAAGAGGGAAGCTCTGATTTTAGCCACAAAGCATCCTTTTAAGGAACTGTCCTTGTGATGCTCACTGAGCTCATCACAATAAAGCAGCGTGATTTTAAGGCAACTGACTATTGGTGAAAGCAGAAGTGTGCTAATAATGTCACACGATGAAAATATGTCTATTTCCTGCTATTTTCTTCTATATTTATAATATTCTGATATTTGTAAATCAGTGTTTCTAAATCAGTGCGTGTAGTTCCACTTCTGCCTTACAAGGATGCTTGTGTTCAAGAGTAGCGTAAGCAAAAGGAAAGGTCAGAGGGAAGATGATAAACATCCCCTGCTCTGCCCTTTGAAGCCAAGACAATGGCTGAGCCACTGGCTTTGAACATGAAGCTTCCTGACTCCAGTCCTCTTGAACTGAGCCTGGAAACTTCAAACAGCGTGAAACAAACTCCCTCTCCAATGCTTTTAAGGTGGGGACAGGGAGTTTGGGGAGCACACAGTCCCTCGAGGGGATTTCCAGGGTGCCAGCACACAATGTTTGTCCCAAAACCACTTTGAGACTTCTTATTTCAGTGCTGGTGGGGAAAAATACCTTAAGAATGTGGCCCACTTGGTCAGCAGGGTGCATTAGCTTAGCTGTTGAGTTTGAGGGGAAGCTGCAGAGCTGTGGGGTTCCGTTCGAGGAGTGATAAAAGCATCACATGGGTTATGTGGGATCAGAGCCTGTCTTCCTGCAGTGGCCAATAGCGGATGCTGCAGAAGAAACGTAAGGACAGGATGAATAAAGATCCATCTGGAAGAGATTTTCCAGCATCCAGCTGGCTGAGGTTTAGGAGCTTCTAGAGCTAGCTATGGGGTGTTTATAGTTCACAGACCCACACAACCTGTTTCTTTAAACCCAGAGAGACTTGTAGTGTCCCCGTACCCTGCAGCAAGGAGTCCTGTGGCTTGGCCACAGCTTCGGAGTCCACGACCCACAAGTGTGTTCCACAGCTGGAAGGAGATGTGCAGACATGGGGCTGCGGCACAGGTAACTTGTGGGATGCCATGTTCCAAAGGGGATGACGGTCCTGGAAAGCTCCGAGGTTTCAGTTTTGGGTGCCTGGGACTGAAGCAGCACCAGGTGACAAGGACAGGAGGAAGGAACCTGTCGCTCTTGCTAAAGCAGAAAGTGTTGCTGATGGCATGTTGCTGTGTAACCCCCCTGGAATCCTGCAGGACAGACTCCACACTGTTTACCCTGTGTGTAAATGCTTTGGGTATGGCCTCATTCCAGGGAAGGGATGAAATGTTTACAGTCCTGTCTCCACAGGATTCCTTTCTCAGCTGTAACTCCCTGGCATTAAATGCTTTGATCCCAGAGGATCTTCAGTTACACATAACTCAATCATCCCATGGATCCTGCCAGATGCTGTCTGGTCAAGCAAGTTCATGTCCATTTATTCTTTTTCCACCTCATGTTTTCATCCTTCTCTTCATCCCCTCCCAACAGTCTGTGACCTGCTTGCTTGTGGCTTTCCCAGTTGAGTTGCATGGAAGTGATTTGGATGCTGAAAAACGAAGCAGATAACAGACATGAAGCTTGTGCAAGGAAGGGCAGCTCTTTCCTACCCAGGCCAGTGTCCTTCTACAAGAGTTGAGACTTCAAGGTAGAACCAAGCTCCTGAGCTGTTCCCACTGTCCTGCTGGGAGAGATGGAGAGCATCCTGCATCTGATGGGAAGAGAAACGAGTGCATCTGTGGTGCTGAGCCTTCGTGTCACCAAACAGGCTCTGGATTGAGAGGCAAGAACAGTGCTGATCTGCAGGCACTTGCCTTCTGCGTCACTTGGCTGAGAGCTGGCCAGCAAGGGCTGAACTGGGAAGGGGGAGCAGGAGATGGACCACTTCTGAGCTGCCTCTCCCTTCCTGGCGAGACAGATAACGCTGCTGGAAGCACTCAAACACTGTGAGGTCAATGTAATCTCTTTCAAGTAGTTTACTTCCCTGAGCTTCATCTTAACGTGCCTGGTGAGCTTGTAAGAGGCTCCACTGGCGTGTTTCCCAGCAGCAGTTTGAAGTGGCTTCCTGAGGACCAGGTAACTTGCTTTGTTCCTTAGGGGAAAATGCAGACTTCAATTCCAGCCCATATTATGGCAGGGGATGGGAGAGCACATTGTGGAGTGAACCTGAACTTGCGTCTTACCACAAGGACTGTGTGGGTTTAATGGAGATGGGAAAGGGGGGTTATAAGCTTGTTTATGGGATGGCAGGGCTGGGCCTTTCTTAGGGCTGTTCAGTGGGAGTCAGTGTTGCTGAGGAGGTGCTTTGCCGACTGCTGAAACACAGTGTTCCACAGGAGAGCATGGTGGCTGCTCTGCAGCATGGGGTGATGCTGCCCTGGAATCCAGGCCCTGGCAGGAAGCAGAGGAGCACAGCAGTTGGGAAAAGAGCCACTGAGAGGTCCAGGTAAGCAGAACACAGCCTGGCTTGCTGAGCCTTAATAGGAAACCAGAGCTGACACACTGTGCAGCATTAATATATCAACCTTGTGGTGGGTCAGTCTCAACAAAGCAACTTATTGCTGCTCTTTTTAGTTTTAACATCCTTTTAGCTGTGTTGGGCTCTGCATTGGGTTTCATTACGCTGCCTGAAGGCTTTGACATCTGTGTCTGAGGGGTGTGCCCACGTTTGGCTGTCGTGTCACGGATGTGCATCTGCTTTATCTGCTTTCCGGCTCTGTCAGGAAGCTCTCACTGAGCAGCTATTGCCAGTGCTGCTGTTAGTGTGACAAGCACTCAGGTGAATGCGTTTGCCAGGCAGATGGGTGCTTAATGAAGAGGGTCCTTTAGATGGGCTGGGTTTGTGGCTGTTCCACAGGCAGCACCTCTGCGATGGGTGTTGGGAAGCTCTGGGCTGGGAGGTGCTGGTGGGGTGACCCTGGGGGTCCCCTCAGCAGCAGAGGGGAAGGCACTGGAGAAAGGGAGTCCCAGTGATGGGTTTTGTGCTGCTCTCCAAGGGGAATGTGAGATGGCTCTGGTTTCCTTGGGCATGGACTCACAGAATGGTTTGTGCTGGAAAGGACTGAAAGATCACCCAGTTCCAACCCTCAACCATGGGCAGGGAGGGCTCACACTAGAACATGTCACCTAGAAAAAGATGTCCTGGGGCACATGATTCCTTCACCCCTTCTCTGCCTCACTTTTAAAGCCCTGGGGGTGGCATTTAGCACATGGGGGCTTCTGACACATTTAATGATGCTTCTTGGGGCAATAGGTTTGCTGTGCTGTCCCGCAAGGGATGTGAGCTAGGGAGGAGGACTTGGGTGTTGAAAGCAGAATGCAGCAGCTTGCAGATAAATAATCTGCTTTGCTTCCTTCCCACCTCACTCTGTCATCTGGAAGACCTGTTGGTCAGTGCCAGAAGAAATAGGGAGTGGAATGTTGCTCTTTTCCTCTCAATTCCATGCTTGGAAATCAACTTGTTGCCAAAGGCACAATGCAAGGGGTAAGGCATAGAAGCTCTGCTCTTCCAAAGCCCTGTACTCATGTCCCAGCCTCATGGGACATCAGCCCATCCTGCAGCAGTGTCCCAGAGGATTTCTCATGCGCTGTGTCATGGCATGCAGTCTCACAGTCTTATCTTCAGGAGGGACTATGGAAGCACATGCACACATATGGCATGACGGGCCTGGTGAGCATCCTCAACCCCTTGTACCATGTTCAGAAAGGTCTCTTTGCGTCATCTGAAGCTGCCATTGCTGATAACAGCCAAAGATTGAGATGTGCTTGTCTGGTTCTGGAGAAGACACACCAGAGGAAAGATAGTGCCTGGCTATTGCAGGGATTGGAATGCTTGTGGTGTTGATGTTTTTCTTTCCATGGAAGATTGGTCTGTGTTCAAACCCGTCACATCTACTGCTTGTTTGCCAGGGTCACATTCCTGGCCTGGGGTCAGCACAAGGTAATTGCTGTGTTCTTGTGAATAATCTTGGAAAGGTTTGGGTTGAAGGGACCTTAAAGCTCCTCCAGCTCCAACCCCTGCTATGGGCAGGGACCCCTTCCACTGGAGCAGCTTGCTCCAAGCCCCTGTGTCCAACCTGGCCTTGAACACTGCCAGGGATGGGGCAGCCACAGCTTCTCTGGGCACCCTGTGCCAGCGCCTCAGCACCCTCACAGGGAAGAGCTTCTGCCTAAGAGCTCAGCTCAGTCTCCCCTCGGGCAGGTTCAAGCCATTCCCCTTGGCCTGTCCCTACAGGCCCTTGTCCCAAGCCCCTCTCCAGGTTTCCTGCAGCCCCTTTAGGCACTGGAGCTGCTCTAAGGTCTCCCCTTCAGGAGCCTTCTCTTCTCCAGGCTGCCCCAGCCCAGCTCTCTCAGCCTGGCTCCAGAGCAGAGCTGCTCCAGCCCTCGCAGCATCTCCATGGCCTCCTCTGGCCTCGCTCCAACAGCTCCAGGTCCCTCTTGTGCTGCTGCCCCAGAGCTGGATCAGGGCTGCAGGGGGGCTCTCCCCAGAGCACAGCAGAGGGGCAGGATCCCCTCCCTGAGCTGCTGCTCACGCTCTGGGGGTGCAGCCCAGCACACAGGGGGGTTCTGGGCTCAAGCGCTCACTGAAGCCGGGTCATGGGGAGCTGCTCCTCACCCAACACCCCCAAGTCCTCCTCAGGACTGCTCCCTCCAGACTCCCCCAGCCTCTGTTTTGTGCGGGGATTGCCCTGCCCCAGGGGCAGGACCTTGCCCTTGGCCTTGTTGAACTCCATGAGGTTCACATGGTCCAGTCTGTCCAGGTCCCTCTGGATCCCATCCCTTGCAGCATGTCACTGCCCCGCTCAGCTGGGTGTCATCGGCACACTTGCTGAGGGTGCTCAGTCCCGCTGCTCCTGTCATTGACAAGGTGTTCAGCTCCTCTCTAATGAGAAGATGTCAAGGAAAAAGGGAGGTTTCATAACAGTTACACTGCCTGGGCCGCAAACATCCAGCAGCCTGTCTGTCTGCAGTGATGAATAGCACTGTTCCTCCCGAGGAAAATCTGTGCTTGATGCTTTTTACAGGTTCCTGGGGGGAAGCTGCTCCTGATCTGTGTTGGAACCGAGCAGCATGATCTGGAAAAAGCTGCACAGAAGTTGCACTGTGGAAGTTCTGATACTTGAGGGAAGCAGATGGAAACCTCTGCAGGAGGGGCTGTGCCTGGGATCACATTGCTTGTGTCAACACTCCTTGTTGGCTAGTGGAGGACATGGGATGTGGTTGAGCAAACAGACGCTCTCACAAGAGCACTTGCCTGCTTTGGGTGGGTGTGTAGTCAATGCACAGCAGGTTTCGGGGTGTATTCAGGGCCCTGTTCTGTGTTTAGCACTCCCTGCATACTGGGACAGGGTTGGAGCAACCCTGACATCAGCTCCAGGCTCTTTCCAAGCGCACAGGGTGTGCTTGGGAGCACTGTGTGAGCATTGCACTGTGCTGTGTGTGCTGCGGGATACCCATGCCCGTGGGAAGGACTCGTGATGGGTTCTTCTCCCATTCTGCCACTTGGCCCTGCAGATGTTGCCCAGCTGCTGGAGTTGCTTTCCCAACGTTGTCCTGATGTTTCTGCAGCTGGAGTCAGGCTCACGCTGCTGCTGCCCTGAAGGAGCTTGTGGGGAGGAGAAAGGATGCTAAGGGGAGCTGTAGCGTCTGGAGGCAGCAGTGGGTGAAAGCTCAGCTTTGGTGCACCCCGTTCATTTGAAGAGCTGTAACCGCTGCTTTGGGTGGGATGTTCCTGTGTATTTTCATGTTCCACCGCTCACTTTTTCCTCCCCTGCTGCAGGCTCCTCTGCTGAGCTGCAGGCAGTGATCTCATGCCGCTTTGTCTTTCAGTTTTAGGCACCAGGCTGCCTCCTGAGTCTCAGGAGATGATGCTACAGCATCGCTCTGAATCCAGGACCATGATACAGTTATATTCATGGCGTGGCTCAGCTCCCGCTCTAGGAGATGGAGTGGTCTCGTGTTGAAGTTGAAAGAGCCCAGAGCCGAATGCTTCCAAAGTCTTGGGGCAGTTTGAAGCTGAATTTTACACACAGGAGCACTGTGTTTAGCTGTAGGTAGGAAGAAAAGCACCCCTAAAAGCAAACCATGCAGAGGGCCCAGCTGGTTTCGATGGGGGCAGAGGAAGAGGGAAAAGCAAAGGATTTACTGTTCTAATGAGGCAGAAACTCCTCGTTCAGCTCTGATCAGAACCCTTCTGTGTTTCCAGTTGGCAACTCAGTCAAGAGTGGGAGTTGAAAACCCATTTCCCAGCCCACCAGCTGCGTCGTGTCATAAAAGGCAAAGCAGATCATAACGTATGCAGCTCTCATAGTGGAGCCCAAATTTGGGGTGATACAGAATGCTAAGTCCCGTGTTTCTCACGGAGCCAGCATGGGCTGCGTGGCTCAGGCTGTTGATGTACAAGCGATGTTTCTTTGTCACCCCTGAGTGTGGGAGAGTCTGAATGAATGAGATGGGGTTTTGGAAGGCAAAGAAAACGAGTGGTAACGGGGTTTAGCACCTCTGGGAGCAATGGGGCCGCCTCTGGTGAGGGGAAAGGGGCAGTTGTTTCTAGGTGAGCAAGAACACAAAGTGATTCAAGGCTGGGATTTACCATGGCTGAAAGCGAGAAAGCA